CGTAGTATCCCAATATAAATATATATAAATTAAAAAGTTAAATTCTTATTTTTCTTCAGGATCAAGTTTTTGGTTTTGTTGCAAAATAAGGAAACATAAGTTAAAAATACCATCAGAACTATTGTTATACTATGCATAAGCATTAAGGCATCCGTGTATCAAGTTTTTAGTGTCGTTGCTGGGGAAGAAAACTAAATAAATTTTTATTTTTAGAAAGTTTTATTTAAACTTTAAATATTGTATCTTATTTTGTATGTTTTATTCTATTTTATTTTATTTTATGTTAGTATATGCGTAGTTCAGGTTCTAAAAGACTAGTGCCCTACGATTCTGAATTAGAAAGAACTATTAGAAAAATCATAAAAACCAAAAAAATTAAAAATCTTGAAAAAATCAAAAAAATTATAGAAATAACAAACCAAAATAATCAAAATACTAAAATTCATCAAGAGTTTAGACCATTAAGAGATTATGCTAACCCTACTGTAGATGAACTTCACTGTAGTATTCAAAAACCTATTATAGTGGCTAATTCATTTGGCTTAAACCTGATATTATCCAAATGGTATCAAATAATCAGTTTGGGGGATCACCAACTGAAGATCCAAATTTACATCTTACTGATTTTTTAGAATTGTGTGCTACATTTAAATACGATGATGTTTCAGATGATGTCATAAGACTTAGGTTATTTCTTTTCTCACTAAGGGATAAAGCTAAGATGTGGTTGAATTTGCTAGCACCTAGATCTATCAAAACTTGGGGTGATTTAGCACAAAAAATTCCTTACTAAATATTTTCCACCATCAAAAACTGCGAAACTTAGAAATGATATTACATCTTTTAATCAGTCTGAAGGGGAATCTATTTATGAAGCACAAGAACGATTTAAAGAACTCTTAAGAAAGTGTCCACACCATGTTATACCAAATTAGTTAATAATTTAAACCTTTTATAATGGATTAATTGGTTTTCTTAGATCTATTATCGATGTCGCTGCTGGTGGTTCATTGATGTCAAAACCATTTCATGACGCTTATGCTTTAAATGAAGAGATGACTACCAAAAATTTTCAATGGCCTTCTGAGAGGATAAATCCAAAGAAAGTAGCCAATATTCATGAAACTGATGCATTTACTATGTTATCGAATCAAGTTGTTGCAATTTAATGGAAGTTAGACAAATTTGGAATGAATTTTCCTCAACCAATTTTCATGATTGAAGAGAATTCATTAGGGAAGAGAATTCATTAAGAGAATTCATTAGGCAAAATGGTAGATTCTCAAACATCATTAGAAACTTTGAATACCATAAATAATAAGCAAAGTAATCCATATTCCAATTATTATAGCCCAGGTTGGAAGAACCATCCCAACTTTAACTGGAATAATAATTCAGGTGGTAATAATCAACAATGGGGGAACAACCAAGTAAACCCATTGGAAAATTGGAACAACCAAGGGAATAATAATTATTGATCTACTTATTCTCCAGGAATCAGTAATACACAATTTAAGAATAAGAAGTTGTCTATAGAAGAAGTGGTGTTACAAATGGGTAATCAATTACAAAGTCAAGGAGCTATAATTAGAAATATTGAGAATCAACTTGGGCAAATTGCAAGTTCATTAAGTAATATATCCCAAGGAATACTTCCTAGTAATATTGAATCAAATCCAAAAGACCAGAATAAAGAGCAAGTTAAAGCCGTACAACTTAAAAGCGGAAGAGAGTTAGAAGGTAGGATTCAAAAAGAGATTGAAATTGAGAGAGAAGAAAT